CACAAATTTCATGCACCGGGCCTCTAGTCCTATATAATAAAGAGCTAATATACTAATTAGACCAAACAGCAGAACAACTGTCCAGATGACCTTCTGGATGACCTTCCAGATGAAACTGGGGCTGCGAGGGCAGAGCCCATTGCATGAATTTTGTGCATTGGGCCTCTAGTGTTATATATAATTTACTACTAATTAATACTATGGTGTTTAAATGTCTCAGCTTATTAATAAGCTGACCCTAGTTTATTGTGTATTGGAATTTTGGTTCGATTTCTGTTTTTTTGTCTGATACAAGTTATGGAAAACTTTCTTCTTCAAAAAACTTTCTTCTAAAAGTAAAAAGAGTAGGGCTCTACTTTAACCCACATATTAAATGTTTCTTTAAACTTGTATGTAAATAGTATATCTGTTAGCCAAACATTTTTTAAGTACTTCAGAAGCTTAGTATACAAAGTTTTATTGTGAAGCCTGTTGTAAATGGAAGTAATTATCCTCATTTTATCTTAGTACTAGTAGATAACCAAAAACCAGTGGACTAAAGTTCTAGTCCCCACTTTACCGCTAATTTTCCATGTCTTTGGAAAAATCTTAATTCTTAAATTTTTTTTCTTATTTTTAAAATCAAGTAAGTTCCTAGACCTTTCTGTTTTATAATTTCTAGTTAAAAGTCCACATTTACATATGCCAGATTGGTTTAAAGGGTAGTACATAAATTTCTTCTAAAATGGATGTCCTCATTCTATAGTAAATGACTGGTGATCTGGTATTTTAAATGCTTAGGAAGCAGATAATTTGTTGGTGGTTTCCATAATGGCTGCATTTTCTTGATCCCTGTAAGAATGTTAGAAGCTAATTAAATAAATATAAATTGACTGCTTTAAAATTATAATAGTATTTGCTGTTAATATTTGCATATTTTGTTACCTTTATAAATATCTGTCAAAAAACAAAACCTTTTTTCTTGCTAATTTATATTGGAGATGAAATGACAGATGGTGTAGAAGTTAAAACACTAAAATATTTTTCAGTTTTATAGTAAGAGTATATGGCATTTTTATTTTCAAATGTGATTGATATTATTGTAACTGTCACTGAAAGACCTTTATAAGACAGTAGTTATGCATGGTACTGTTTATATGCCTGCCTAGTCTCTAAGTACTTATATTTTATAGCACATATATTCTTGAATTTATAGATATGTCAATCAATAGATAAAACGAAAAAGGTGAAATATTTCAGATTAAAATGGACAACAAATGTAGGCTCCATAATTAGAAAACTATATCCATTCAGCAAACATTTTTTTTTTTTAGTGTCTCATGCATAGCAATGTGCTAGACACTAAGGATGTGAAGAAAACAGAGGTCTGTGAAGCTGTCGAATCTAGCTTCCATGACCTTCCTAGAATACTGACTTCCCTTTCCCCTCTACCTTCCAAGTCTCTCATTACCTCTCATTGGCAAACTAACCCATAACACATAGGAAAAAAGATCTTGGGCTTCTCTATATTGCAGAGGTAGGCTGTGGAGCTGACAATACAGAATATAAGCCCTCACACAAAGCATCACATGAACTGAGGTTACAAAGAGAAAAGATTGTAGCTGGAGGGAATAGCACATAAAAAGCATGGAAGTATAGGATATTATGACTTATTCAAGAAAATTCAAGAATTCATTATGTCTACAGCACTCGTTGCAGGGTAGAAAATGATTGAAGATGTAGGTGGGAGCCAAACAATGAAAGGCTTTCAAAGTAATACCAAACTGAGACAAAAATAGTGAAAGGTTGTGAGCATAGACAGAGTAAAATTAAAATTATGTTTCATTAAGAAATATAAGCAGAGGATTCCAGGAAGGTTCTCCTAGTCTCTGGCTTGGGTGTCTGAGAGCATGATAACACTATTAAGGAGAACAGAAGCAAAGAGAACAATGTCTTAAGAGAAAAGTAAGTAAGTTGTGGAAAATGAATCAGATAAATTCTGAAAAGCCTTGCCCAGAAGATGTTTGCTTCTAAGATCTTGGTAATAATTTTCCTTTTGTATTACAGTGTGATTTAGAAGGAATCATGCCAAATGTTACCATCAGCTTGAGTCTCCCCACCAATGGATCTCCACTTCAGGATATTCTAGTTCATCCTTGTGTGACTTCTCTTGACTCTGCCATTCTGACTTCTAGTAGCATTGATGCAATGGATGATTCTGCATTTAGTGGACCTTACAAATTTCCATTCACTCCACCTTTAGAATCATTCAACTTGTGCTACTACACTTCCCAGGTAAACAACCTTGAAACAGTTGAGACTTTGCAGATCATTCATACATTTGGTCTAAAGGAGAACTTTTCATGAGTTATTTGCCAGATGAATGAAAATGAAGATTCAGTTCATTGAATAAGATGTCTCTTATCTCTGGTGTCTGTAACAGCACTTAATGTTTTCAAAGTCATGGAATTTTTTTTAATGTTCCCAAATAAGGAGTTTATGGTCATAGGGAAGATCTTGGAATAATTATGGTTTGAACCATGAACATGTAAAAATGCCTTTAATCCTAGGCAGCTGTGGTTACAAATATATAATATTATTAATAACTGTTTATTGCTTATTGAAAAACTGCTGTGTCAGACATTATCCTAGGCACTTTACATGTATTTTCTCTAACACTTTCAAAACCCTTGTATTTTTATCCCCACTTTACAGATGAGGAGAGTCTCAGAGAAGTTCAATGGCTTGTACAAGGTCATATAACTGATAAGTAGCAGAGCTTAGATTTGAACCCAAATTTTCCAGACTCCAAAACCTACTTTACCATTTATTTCTTGTAATTGTGAATCAGTGGTTTAGAAAAACCTCCTCAAGCTACCTTAAGTAAACTGAATTTACTTTGAGAAGACAAGAGGCAATCTCATTGTCATTCAAGGATAGGAAGTAGACCCAGGCTTTACTGAAACTAGAATCAGAAATTAAAATTAAAATCACTCTATACTCAAGGTCTACATTGTCTGTGCATCTCTGCTTCTCAGTCTCCTCTTCCACCTAGCTTTCTCAGCTTGCATATGTCCTCCAGTACTAGGACGTGTACTGTAAAAGTAGGTCCTTCCTATTTCTTACTTCAGATGTACTAGAAATATTGATGGACTCACCCCAGCTTACAGATTGTCTCACTTTCAATCAATTATTGATAACCAATTTAGTAAGCTACTGCTGAGCTGAGTGTGGGGTGGGGTGTCACAGTGTACAAATGGGGCAACAGGAACTGTGGGCAGAGTGTCACTGCCTGTCCTAAATGGCAGGTCATAGAGGACCTGAAAGGGGAACCTGGATGAGCAAGAGTGGGAAAAAGAATGTAAAAATGAATTGCACACCTTTGTCAGGCACCTTTCTCATCTCTGGAAACAAAAAGAGATGGAAGAATCTTTGCCTTTACAACGAATGTAGCTCCATCATCTATTATCCAAGCAACTTGGAGTAACCCATTAGTCATTAAAGATGTATCTTTAAATAATGAGTATATTACTGCAAGACTTTTTTCTCAATTGCCATTGATATTTTAGACCCATTAACCTGACAATTATGTAAAAGTTTGTATATGTTTATTTCCAGGTTCCTGTCCCACCAATTTTAGGCTTTTATCAAATGAAAGAGGAAGAAGTACAACTAAAAATAACAGTTAATTTAAAACTTCATGAAAGTGTGAAAAATAATTTTGAATTCTGTGAAGCTCATATACCATTTTACAATAGGTAGGAATAAAATAACATGATGCCATGATTTCTGCCTTCCTTAGTACATTTCCACTGCCCTACAGTGAATTACCTGTCTTTGTTTTTAACCTTACTTATAAGATTTTTTAAATACTATTCAAATGAATGCTGATTCTGAACCAAAACATAGTGATAGAAATAATCTCTACCTTTAAATGTGTCTTTATTTTTCTGGTTAAACATGCTAATAAATATAAACATAAGCCAGCATAGCTTTCTCAGAGATTGTTTCACTTCTGGCTTTATTTCTAGCAATTTCTCTCTACCCTATATAAGTCAAGCCTTGCTATCAACTATCTGGTGAATTAAATCAATCATATCATAAGATTACAGTTGACTCATATACAATTGAGGGTTGGGCCACCAACCCTATGCAGTGGAAAACCCATGTATAACTTTCGGCTCCTCAAAAACTTATCAACACTTGACCCTCCACACCTGCGGATTCCCAACTATAGATTGAAAAGGTTGACCTGTGGACAACACAGGTTTGAACTGTGTAGGGACCTATGTTAATCAAGGGTCAACTGTACTTCCTCATCATTCTACTTTTAAACTCATTCTGCAGCATAGTTCTTTGCAAAATGTATCTAAATGTATATTAAAATTATAGTTTTGATGTTATGTCAATCTATGTGACTAGTAATATATTCTATATGATTTTATATTTATCTTTAGAATTAATAATGAAATATATGTCATCACCAAAATGTTTATTATGCTTCTGGCATTTTTTGAGATATAATATTATTTGTTCTACTCTATTCTGCCAACTTGGATATAGAAATGCTTTTATGCTTCCCTTGTATTAAGTAACAGTAGCAAGATTTGACTTAGATTTCTTAAAATTGTTATATCTGTGACTTTTTTTTTTTTTGTATTGTGTCCTTTTTTAAAGAGGTCCAATCACACATGTGGAATACAAAGTTAGTTTTGGCCAGCTCGAAGTATTTCGAGAGAAAAGCTTATTGATCTGGATTATTGGTGAGCCAGGTTTTGTTTATTGATTATTTTTCATTCATTTGCTTTAGAATCTACTTAATTTAGGCTATTTGATTGGTAAATTTTTGTTTTTAGGACAGAAGTTCCCAAAATCAATGGAAATTAGTCTTTCTGGAACTGTAACTTTTGGAGCCAAGAGCCATGAGAAGCAGCCATTTGACCACATTTGCATTGGGGGTACAGCATATTTAAAGGTAAATATATTTGAATAACTCACTCCCTTAGAAACCTTTCCTTTGTTTCTAAATTACATATACCTAATTGATTTTTAATGTTTTCTAGTAATTTTTTAAAACTCTGGGGTTTTTTTGTCTGTGCTGTTCCTTTTTTATTTTTTTGAGATTATTTTTGTTTAGTGTTAGTAACTTTCTTTTTCACTTAATACTGTAAAACCTTTAAGGTGAAGCAGGTAAGTATGACCTAAACACCTCACCTTAATCTATTTCTGCCCAGCTATCATGATCACATGTGAAATTTGTATACCAAAAATGTAAAATGTAGTCCTTTTCCCCTAGAGTTATTTTCAATAATCCATGTCAACAATTGATCAGTGCTAACTGCTTTTGGTATTTCAAAGAAAAAGTGAGCACTTTTGACCAATGTGGTCAAGGAAAGCATTGCAATAGAAATGGAATTTAAGCAAAACTCTGAGGCCCAGATAAGCATGAATGTGAAGCCATGAAGACTAACATTTGTATGAATTAAAGAGATAACATAGAAGATTGAAGGATAACAAAGCATGCTTAGGAACCAGTACCAGGAACAATAGTAGCACATAAGGCTGGATACATGGTTTAGGTGTGGATTGTAGAGGGTTTCAATCTAATTTTTATTCCTTTATTAGAAAAAGTTATAATTTTTTTGAGTAGGGGAGTGAGTGGTCTTTCAGAAAGTGATACTTTATAAAGATTAAGCTGGAATGTATGTGAAGAAGGTGAGAGAAAAAAATAACTATAGATAAACTATTTTTTAGCTCTATTAGTATTCCAGATGAAAGGTGTAAGTTAATGATGCTGAGTTCCTGTAGTGTCACAGAAAGAGAAAGGATGAGAATAAAAGGAAGAGACTGCTGTAGGAGTTGTAATAAACATAAAGCCTTGGTCACTAATTAAATATAGAGACAATAAGTACTTTAAAGTCAAAGATGGTATTATTAAAAATGTATGTAATTTAAACAAGACTTGAGGCTCCAAGAGAGTGGAGTCCATGTGAGTCTCATTCATTCATTGTTTTACTACCAACATCTAGTCCAATACCTGCCACAATAAATATTTGATGAATGGATCAGTATAGTAGTTAGAAGAAAATACTGATGTGGAGAAAGTTGAGAGGGAGCGGGCTTCATATCATGAATGTTGCTGGTGATAGCAATGTATCCCAGTGTAAGTGTTCAGAAGGTAGCTAAAAACTTGGAGCAGGATTCTCAGGAGGGAGCTCAACTATATATAGGATTTAGGAGTTATCCATGGAAAAGAAATAGTCGAGTCAGTGGAAATAAGATTTTTTTAAAAAGAGAGAGAGAATAAGGGATTCGGAAGAACCAATGAAGGAAATTGAAGAGGTGGTCAAAAGTAACAGCAAAATCTAAATAGAATAGTATCAAAGAAGAGAGATTGAAATCCATACATAAAAGCATTAGTACTTCTGAAGTCAGAAGTACACTTGTGACATTCATTTCTTCTGTCTTAATTTCAACTATGTCCACAAGCTTTGTTTCAAGGATTATTATAAATATTCCTGCTTCCAGATATTTTTCAGAAAAAATGTGGGATGTTAGTTACTACATTGTATGTCTTTCAAAGGTAGGGATTATGACTTTTCTATTCATTTCCATCACCTAACCAGATGTAGTTTAATTGAAAGCATGTACTACATATTTGTGTTCACTAAATAGACTTATTTTTATAATATCTAGCTTTTTGGAAATCAACCTTGTCATAACTTTCAGCATCCAGAATTATGCTAAACAAGCAATTAAAAGCCCTTTATTGTTGAGATAATTTGAGTTGCAACAGGAAAGACATTGCAAAGATCTGGAAATTACATTCTATGCAAGTGATCAGTTAGTTTTGTAATCAAATGAGAAAGTTAGGAAGTGGGAGAAATTTGCAAGGAAGGGAGATAGAAGAAAGAAAAAGTATTTAAAAAGTTAATCAGGGTATTGCAAAATCAGGAACTTTTAGCAGCAAAGATGAAGAGAACCGAGGGGACTGGAGCTCTGTAAGATATAGAACCTTCATGGTTAATGTGAATATCATTGTGACTCAGGCACCCAGGGCTGTGCTTTCAGAGAAGGTACTAATGGCCCTTGCTGTTAGAATCCCACATAATAATTGGCATTTATACTAATGACACAATATTATCCATTAAATCCGAGACCTATGGATTACATTTTAGAAAGGATTTATAGGTGAGAGAAGGGGTGATTTCTAAGTTTAGATGTATAAAAGATAAAGTTCATTTTTCTGGAAAATTAAGTAGAGCATCTCATTTCTTCTGAACACCAGAATAAACTGGTGTTTTTCTTTTCATAATTGTATTTTTGTGGTTTGGTAGAAGATATATATGTTTCTGCCTGTAGAAGAATTATGATCTAAATATATCACAACCACATAGCCTTAGAGGTAGAAGAGAATATCCAGAACACCAGACACCATAGGGGAAGGAGCATCAGCTTTGTAATCAGTCAGGTCTGAGTTCAAGTGCCAGCTCTGCTACTTACATGCTGGGATTCTAATTGCTTTCATCTCTGAACTTCAGTTCTCTCATTTATACAATAAGGATACCTTGCAGTAAGGGTCAGAGTTCATATTAGTGAAGTGCCCGGTATATGTGAAGGACTTCATGATGCCAGCCTTACAAGGAAATGACCCTAATGCAAAGGGGAAATGGTGTGTGTATATGTATACATATGCACACACACACACAATATTCAGCTTCAATATTTGTGATTTAAAATTTGTGAACTTTGTGAATTCCCAAAATTGCGTCAAGGAAAATAATGTGACCTTTTATTTTTACCAAAGAATCATCTCAATTTGGTACATTTTTCTTCTTTGTCTAGCTTCATTTTAGGATCTTAGATTACACACTTACTGGGTGTTACGCGGATCAGCATTCAGTTCAAGTTTTTGCATCAGGAAAACCAAAAATAAACACACGTAAGTTGTACAGATTCATACTAACTTGAGGGAATTAAAATGATGTTATGCAGTTATTACCTAAGGTAAAATTAAAATGTAACTGAAAAAGATCAGGGAATAATCCCAATTTATAAAATTCTGGCCTGATCCTATTCTGTGTAAGAGTTTGTGTACTTTATATTGTCCTCTGCCTTCTTCTGTTTATGAAATTATCTGGATGGGCAAGAATTGGTGTAGAGATGGACTTTAAAATTGGATTTATTTTGCTCTGTTTATAATATACACTTTTTTTTCAGGGGTTATTCATAGGGGCTTTGGTGTTGGACAGACAAGGGTTTAAGTCTAGCTCAGACAGTTTGTTATCTGTGTAATTTTAGGCAAGTTAACTTTTCAAAGTTTTAGTTTCCGCATCTGTAAAATGGAAATAATAGTATTATTTACTTCAGGATTCTAAGTAATTACTTGTTAAGGACAATAATAAGTTCTGTGTAATGTAATTAGAATGTCATATTCTTTACCTTCTTAAGGTTTTTCCTATTTTCTCCTGCACCATTTTTTGGGGCAGTTTTTTAAAGAGATAATTATATGTAGAATGGTCTTCATAATGTTGTGTGTGTGTGTGTGTGTGAAGGCATAATATAGTTATGTCAGTTTGGACAAACCAGTGGTTTCGTCTAAATTCAAACAGACCAATATTTTAGACTGTATCTATGGAATACAGAATGCAAAATGTTAACTTAAATAATAAGGGCTAACATGTATTGCTTATTGTATGCCAGGAACAATTCTAAGTATTTTATGTGTTAACTCATTGATTTTTATATAATCCTATTATGTGTTATTTCCATTTTACAGAGGAGGATGTTGACGGAACAGAGAGATTAGAGTCACATAACTAGTAAATGGCAGATCTAGGAATCAAACCCACATAGTCTAGCTCTGAAGCCTGGCCGCTTAACCAATATGCTATGTTGCCTCTCAGTGTCACTAAGTTCCCAAACTGGGAAAAAATAAATAAATAGAAAGATAAGGTAATATATCCTAACTATATCCTTTTCACTATGAAGAAGGGCATGAAGAAGAAAGGTAGAAAAGGCAAAATTAGATATTTAGTGATGTATGTGATAAGAATTTACAGGTGTCTAGCTCCAAATGAGCATTATCTTAATTTTACATAGCAAAAAACGTTACTTCAAAAAGAGTTGTCATTTGTCCAAAGTTATAAAGCTCTTAAAGCAAAAAGCTTAGATTTGATCAGAACTATAAGAAACCACTGAAGCCGAGAGGTGGGGTAAGAGATCAACCGAAGGACTTGTATGCATGCATATAAGCATAACAATGGACACAGATAGTAGGGGTTTAGGGCATGTGATGGGTGGTGGGAGTGGCTAGGGAGAGGTCAATGGGGGAAATACTCTTTGTAATACTTTAAGCAATAAAAAAAAAATAATAAAATTTAAAAAAAGAAAAGAAACCACTGAAGCAATCTTTTAAAAACATTTTTAGAAAGTTCTATCTCTGAAACTTTCAATGGGTAGAGAATAATTGCAAGATCAAAATCAGGACCTTGGTAAAGAGGTTACAAAAGGGAAACCAATGTAAATTTTTTTTACTGTTTTTGTGCTTGAAGTAATGATCCATAGAAACAAAATTTAGGGAAAATGTGAGGAGGGGAAATGGCCGATTTGACATAAATGAGGGATTTTGGCGTAAATTTGACAAAAATAAACTTAAACATGGATTATTTAAATGTTTTAGTGAAACCAAATTTTTGAAATGGTAAGAGTTATAATAATGCCTTGAAAAAGTCAAATTAAAATGGATATTTCAAAGTATTGCCTTCCTTGAAATAATTGTATTCCACAACTTTAAAATATCTGTCTCTTACTGAATTTTTGTTAATACAATTTATTAACATTGATCATTTATTTCTTTTATTTTTCAGACCGGAAACTAATTTCTTCTGACTATTACATCTGGAATTCTAAAGCTCCTGCTCCAGTAACATATGGATCATTATTACTGTAATTATCTCATGTTTAAATAAGGCTTATACAATAGTAACATAGCCTAAATTAAATCATAGTCTTTTATTTTTAATGTGTATGCATATAACCTATGAATGAGAAAACATTAAATGATTTAATTATAAAAATACTCTTGTTTGATGTTTTTAGTCTGACATAGTTTGACAAAAAAACACTTTCAAGACTAATGTCTCTAATTTTGTTATTCTTTGATTTTTCTCAACTATGATTCAGAGCATAAACCAGTAGTGATTCTAGTCCTGAGTTACCCTGCCACATGTTCCTTCCTGTGCCTACGGCAGACATGGCTAATCGATTGCAGCCCTTTACTCCACTGAGCTTCCTGGATACAGGCTCAGGTTCCTCTTCAGTTCAGACCTGCAGGCAGCCACTCTTGATGGATTGTTGTTCCGAACCTGAGTACCAAGCTTCTAGTATATTGTGTTGTTACAGAATGCCAGAGACCACATTAGAAACAACTGTAAATCTCTTGAGAGGGAAAAAAAAACAGCCAATGAAAACAAAGCAAAATTCTTTAAATAGTACACTGTTCTTAATCAGAACTACCCAATTGACTTATAAAGAATCTGCATAATTCTAGTTAAGGTATTTATCTCTGTTCTGGAGTTACTTTTCAGGTAAGCTTATTATCTGCCACAATAACAATTTGCTTTAGGGTGTCAATAAGAATAGTAAGAGGGGTGGTATATCTTCAGAAGATGAGCATGGTGTTTTGTGATCACTTAATGTGTGCAGCCAAATTTTTAAAGATAAATTTAGGTATTATATTGCCTTTTCATATTTTATTATTATTCATTAATGAATAAGTTCAGGTAAAAATTCATATAGCATATTTTTTTAAATTTGTCATTATCACTCTATTAGCATTATCTTAGTTTCCTCAGGAATCATCTAGTCATACTCTTTATTCTTTACCTGTCTTGACAATTATATGTCTCATTCTGTTTTCAAAGCAGTTCATTGTCAAGTTGGACTTTTAAGTGACCATTCAAGAAAAGATAAAATCTCAAGATCCTCAAATCTTAATCCATGTCAAGTTTCTTTTCATGGAACACAATTAGAAGTGTTATGAAAAAATATACATTACAGATTAGTATTCAATTAAATTATATCTTAGTTTCTATTTTTTAATGAGTCTCTTAAGGAAAAGCTTAGAAAAAGCTGCTAACTCCTTGAAAGGGAATTGTGATAATTTGCAGGGATATTGCATATAAATTTAGGATTTGAAATGTGATTTTTTAATTAAGGTCAATCCTACTCATTATAAACTCTTATTTTTTGCAAGGCATTATTGTGGCATAATGTTCTCTGTTCAAAATTATCCTAGTAACACAGGAAATAGAATAACTGCCTGATCAGGACTTTAACTTATTAGTCTAGCTTAATCATAGTAGTAAAAACCTTCCTTTTGAAAGAATAAAAAAAATGACTCTCCTTTAGTCATTTGATCCTTCTTTAACTCAAGGAAAGCTTATATTTAATTTATGTTAATATTAATGGAGCCATTTGGACATCTTGATTGTATAAATGTTCAGCAAAGTACACTAAGATAGGCAAGAGGCATTTATCTAGTGAGTAGGCAGAGATTCAGTGTAATAATCCTTTAGGGAAAACTATAAGCAATCAGAAAACCAGTGAATCTGGTTTGACATTTCTAGAAACCTGAGGAAAATCTAGGGCGGACTGGAAAAGTGTGGGGCCCTGGGCAACCTAAGGCCATCTGTTGCCATTCCATTCTAACATAATGCTACAAAACTAAAACCAGCTCTTGTTTTCTTCCCGTTGAGATCAGCTGGACACATTGTGATGCTTTTGATTTTGTCTAGAAACCTGTCACTTCGGGATAATTTCTGAAGACAAAGTCTGCTTCCCGTTTGGTAGGTGACCTGTTTAATGTTTTCCCTGTGTCTGGGAACTCCTTAGTGTAATTAGCGACCTTTGAACTCCACAACTAATCCTGAGCTATTTTGTATTCCTTACTCATCTTTAAGGCTGGACCTTTCTTTTCTTCAGACTCCGCTGCCACAATTAAAGAAGAAACAGCTGCATTTCAAAGGGATTCCGATCCAGAAGCTTAATCGTGATTGACATGTTCTTATTCTAAGCTATAAGACACTCTTAAGAGTCCTTTCTTGGGTTAAAACTTCAATCATTTTCTAAAAAATTATCTCACTATGGATTTTATTCATTTTCTTTGATAACTATTCTTTGCATTTTTTAACTTGAAAGATGCTTTGCCTTTGCAGTGAATATGAGCACCTATTTCCAAAGATTTGGATGGTATCAGACCTACTCTAGATGCAAAACTGCTAAATTCCTTTTTAGTGCAAAATATGATTATGAAATCTGTTATCTATCATATAGGTAATTATTCTTCAGTAGATCCAAATGGTACAAAAAGTGTTAAATTTCTGAAAATGTGCTCCAGAAAAAATGGTTCATGATTTTGGTGAAATCCTTCTTCTCTAAACAATATTTTTTAAACTTTTTTAAGCCCTTACAGAGGTGGGCATTTTTTAACTTTCTTAAAATAATTGATTTAAATATCAGGTTTGAAGTAAATAGCCCTGTCAGAAATTCTTAAGAGAATTATTTGTTTAAAAATGTTTTCTTGATTAAACATTAATCTGTCTTATAAAATTCTGTTTTACACCAACTAAGTATTTGAGTTGAAATTGTGATTTTATGTATTGTATAATTTAAGGTCTCTCGAAACACAATTTTGTACATAATAACAACAGCTAATATTCTCCTTTTTTTTATTATAGTATTTCAAACCACTTCATAGCCATTCATAGACTCCTACACCACCCCTGGGAGGGAGGGAGGTTGAGTTTGCATCCAGAGCCTCTGCAGGGACTGCTGCCACAGCAGAACGGTTGTTTCTAAGACAAAGGTCAGGAAAGGGATGTTAATAAACAGTCCTCAGGTTTAAGGGACTTTTTTAGGATTACATCTTAAATTCCAACAAATCAGATTTAGGAGTTACTGAAAGTGAAATTGATCCATCCCTCATCCAAACTTTGCAATACTTTCCTGTTCTGACATCATTTAGATAGTTGGCTGTATTATCAGATTAGAAACCATTGTACCACGCTGCTGAAAGGAAAAGGAGGCAAAAAGCTAAACATAGGATAAATTCTGAACCTTTTAACCTGGCTGAAGTACGTTGGTCCCTGTTATGCAAATACCTTCAATCCTCTGCTAAGTTCAGTGGAAATAATTTTCTTGAATGACAGGTTTATTCAGCAAGGATTCAGTTGGTGATTAATCCCCCTTTGATCTAGGGTATTTCACTTAACTACCAGTTACCTCGTTCTGACAAAGTGCAACTGAGATTAGGGAGATCACTAGAACACTACCAGGGTGTGCGTTTATTCTCTCTAACCTTTTAAAGCAAGGGCCAAGAATGCAATTTATTTTCAGTATTTGAAGATGTAAAGTCCTGTCTGCTAAGTTAGAAAGTCAATTGAATACCAAATGAAGTTTATTTCTTACGTAACAGAACAAACATTTCTTTTTTGCTTTGTCTAACAATGATTTTTAGGAAACATAGTCTTTGAAAAAAGAAGAAAGACTACATTCTAAGTATATCTTCTAGTTTTGTTTCATGTACTGGAGAATATACTCATTGACCCTGAGATAGCCCAAAAATCAAAGCAGTCACTACAATTTAAGTTGAAAAAATGCTTCAGTTTTATTAAATTGCATGGTTTCTTCCCACCCTCCTCCCATTTAAAAAGGTCATGCTATGTGGTAAATCCAATTGCGGAAACATGTAATACACAAGTATTCATCTTAAGACTTCTGATTTCAAGGCTTTATTTGTTAACTTTGTCCTTTCTTGAGGAAAACAACTTATGTTCCCATAATAAGGATAATTGCGTTCACTTTCAGAATGAAGGTTTTTGTTCATAAAGAAGGTAAATGATGCTATTACAAGAATACTTCCAAGTAATTATTTTAAATTATCAAACTAACCATTTTCCACAGCATTGTTTACTATTTTTCTGCCTTCCTTTCCATTTAGCTGTGTACCTCTTCTTCCATAACTTTAAGACTTTGAAATAGTCTTTGGAATCTTGCACAATATTTTAAGAATAACATTTTAAGATACGTTTTGTGCTACGGTTTCTCAAAAAATTCATCTTAAAAAACTTACCATTGTCAAAATTTATCTTGCAAGATATCAAATGTGCGGATCTATTCCACATTTAGTTTAAGACCCTTAAAAAAGAAAATAATTTTTAACAAAAATTTGTTTTTAAATACTAAGTTGTTATTAGTGATTAATGTTATTATAGACAGAGCATTTTAAATGCTCTATAATTGTTCATTATCCTAGTAGCAGTTTGCAATACAAGTTATGTATTTACATAATTATACATTATTTTGTTCCAAAGTCTCTGTGACCCAATTTCTAAATTGAAACAATGACTCAAAGAAGCACCTCTAACTTCCCTGGGTATCAGCCTCTCCTGTTTCAATTTAGTAACCAAACTTTCCAAATATCTTTTGATAGCCGGTTACTTAATCACAGAAATTGAGGATCAGAAAAAATATAAGATGAAAGGCAGGATCCCCTAGCTATGTTGCTAAGAAAACTAGTATTTTTAATAATTCACTATGCAGTAAATATTTTTAATGAAATGTTGCAATATATTTTGAAATATGTATCAGAATCTGTATAAATCATATGTACATGTATGTATATGTAATGTATTTTAATACATATGTTAAGTGTCATGTCAGAGGAAATAATTCAAATATTCAAATATCTTTCCTCCAAACACAGTGTTAGTTAATAGTAATGAAGAGGTTCATTAACATAAAAATTTCCAAAGAATTCATGAGATCACTATTACAAAATGATTAAAACTTTTATGAGCTTCAGCTAGCTTCTAATTTTTTTCATCAACTGTTTTAGAGGAATGATAATATTGTCCACATATAGCCTGCAGCAGTGCAAGGCCATATCTCTATGACTCGTTTATTGTCTTGTAAGCAGGCTGCTCTGAGGTCCAGGTTGATTTCTCTAAGACCCTGGCTAATCTGCACAGTTGTTGGCAGTGTAGTGCTAATATATGATGCACAGCATTTCGCATTTACAGATTGACAGATGCCCTGGGATGGAAACCACCTGATGAATTGTTTCTCCAATGGGATATGTGAAAATTTGTATATTTTAATAATCCGTCAACATGTAAAGTCAAAGTGTATGTTTCCTTTAAATGTCCTTTTAAATGATAGTTTTGTAAAAGAATATTGTTATCCCTCTTAAAATTTTCACTTTTTCTCTCAAGGGACTTGAGTGCCCTCTGCAGGTTATAAAGAGATAATTAATGGCAATATTTATTTTTAAACCCTGTGATTTTTCCCTTTTAGAAGCACAGCCTGCATAAATGTGATCCATTTGATTTATATTGTTAACTTTGTTGATTTTCCGGTGATTGAAGGAAGAGTTTCTTTTCCTGGCCTGTTTTATTTAGTGTGAAGTAATATCATTGAATTTTACAAATCACTTAGCTAGGGCTCTTTGAATATTGGAACTATACACATTGGAACTAATACAAAGTCCCTCACAGAAAGGAGATTGGGAAAATTTAGCTATTTTGAAATTTATTGAAGATGTAGAGAATAACTTGATTTAATTCCCATTACATAATTAGACTATTAATACATTTGAAATAAGCTCTACTTTTTCAATATGCATTGTGTAAGATTTTTAAATTATATGAGTTCTATTTCTTAATCTTGTTGAGGAGTGATGATTGTGTTCAAACTAAAAAAGCTTTACATCTGACTCACTTAAAGCTGCCAGGGGAACTAAATATGATGAGAACAAGAAGAATGATTGGATCACATTAATAGAAATAGATCTTTTTGCAAGAACATAGTGATCCTGATCATCAACCTTGAAAAGTAAATTAGAACAAGCAAATTGCTATTGAAAAATTCTTTCAGCACTCCGCTGTTGCTACTCAGCTAGTCATGGCTCAGCCAGAGGCAAAGAAAAGTGCAGTTTGGTGTTAACAAAGGAAACATTATTAAAGTGAATGTTTACATTGTGTTTATTGAAGTGTTGAAAGAATATTTGTTGCAACTTCAATCTACTGTTCTCCCTGCTATAATAATGCGTGAGTGATGATAAAAATAATTTGTACATTTTAAAAGAATAAGTAACATTTAACTTAAGTGTTTGTCGATTGTCTTCAAAATGCATAAATATCAAACTTAATACTTTCTTATTTAAAGATTTCTGTCTCCAGCAAATGTATCTCATTAAAAAAAAACGAACTCATTAAATATACCTTCTGTTTATCTCCACACCTGCTCTTAGCCAAAAGGTTGAGAAGCAATCCAAGGATTTCCAAATGCTTTATGTAACTTTTCCCCTAGAAACTACAGTGCATAAGAAATAATAAACTGAAAATTAAGCAAATATGAAAACAATTGTGAAATTACTGAAGTGACTGTGTAATTGAATATATAATATGTTCATTGGAGAAACAGCTTGATAATTGAGAGAGCGTTTGTGAGCAATTATTTTAAGCTACTTCATAAAAACTAACTTGAGAATAGACAGCGGTTGAAACCGTGCATGCCAATCGGACTTCTAAAACTTTAATAAGTATTATAAAATGGGAAAGTTAATTAAAAATTCAGAAAGAATTTAAGCTTTCACATATCTAAAATGAACAATTTCAGTTACTCATGTTATAGAAGTATAGAATTTAACAGGAATTTAAATACCATTTTTTACTTGGTCTCTCTCTTTTTTTTTTTTAACCTGGTCTCTTAGCAGGTGTTATTGAATACAACAATTCAGTATTCTGTAATCTCTTTTGGACTGACTAATTTTTGAAGAACTAATTTGAAATTCACCAACAGTAAAATCACAATCTTACATATTTCAGCCTAAAAATCTTATCACAGCAAAGATGATTAGCCCATGCAATAGGCTCCTGAGAACCTTTTAGCCAGACACTTTATTATTAACCATTAGGATAATATATTTACAGAGGATCATATTAATTAAATATGGAAGAATTTATATAAATTATTTTTAAAGTTATGAATTACCTGTGTATCAGTTTATATTTAAATACCTTATTTAATATTTTCCTAAGGAACTTCAGTCTTTGTCCATAATGTAAAAAAAAAATTTTAATCTAAAGCAAATGGCAAGCCACTAATTCTGCTTTGCTAAGGAAGTAACCAGAAGTGGTTAGTGATGCTTATCACTTGTTAACTAATCATAGCAAGAGGACTTTTTAACTAATATGAATATCAGTGGCTTCATGCCCATAATATGTATTTCCCTTATACATATTAAAATAGCACATGCTATCTTATTTAATTTTAAAGGCCTAAACACAAGGCATGACTTGGAATTAAAAACTGCTGAGTAATCTAGTTGAAATGGAAACCCTGCCCTGGCTTGCTTGCCTCAGTGGATAGAGAGTCGGCCTGCAGACTGAAGGGCCCCTGGTTCAATTCCAGTCAAGAGCACATTCCTGGGTTGTGGGCTCGATCCCCAGTAGGGGTTGTATAGGAGGCAGCCAATCAATGAGTCTCATCATTGATGTTTCTATCTCCCTCTGAAATCAACAAAAATACATTTTTTTAAAAAAAAGGAAACCCTAATCTTCTATAATAATAAAAGGGTAATATGCTAATTAGACCAGTTGAAGGACCTTCTGGATGTCCTTCCAGAGGAAGCTAGGGCTGCAGCCGTGGGATCAAGGCTGCGGCTGCAGCTGTGAGGGAGGGATCGAGGTAACTGCCGCTGCTGCTAAAGCCTACTCTTGCATGAATTCTGTGCATCGGGCCTCTAGTTTGGTCAATAAAAGGTAATTAATGTTAAACTTTTATTGTGCTTTTATTATATGCTACTCCAGAACTAGATAGACAAAACAATTCTACCTGATTTTGAATGGTGTAACTCCTGGAATGTATTGACACTGTAATACAGGAGACTTCTTCCAGCTATGGCTAATACAGAAATTGTCCAAATAAGTGGTGGTTGAGGTTCTCCAGGCAGACAACGGAAAGAAGGGCATCCTAGGGGCAATATATCTCTGTAGGTCTATCTGACAAGCAGAATCCCAGGAACCTGAACATATTATATGATAAGAGTAAGCATGCAGGGGAATATTTTTTCTTCCAAAAGTTTGAGATTTGGGAACTTACAAAAATAAATTTCTAAGGAAAGTAGTTACCATATTTAATTTCCAGCCTAGTGTACACAGAAATATGAAGGCACTCCTACATACAAAATGTACTTCCCCACTCGGTCTCCCCCTTCTGCCTCCCTTGGTCCCTAATTATGGATGCATGTTCACATGTGCTAGTATGAGATTTACCTCTGTATTACCAGTGAAGAAAATATGATGTATAAATAAGATTATGAGGAAACTATAAATGAACTGTTACATAATCTGTTTAATATATATTATACTTAATCAATTGATAAGCTAAATTTTTGTTTAGGATAGTTTACCTGTGGTAGAATTTCTACCTTGGAACACATTCTTACCCTTGAATCAGTTGAATATATATACACATATATACACACATGTACGTGTGTATGTATAACAAGAAAAATGCAATCTCTAGAACACTATATTAAACTTTCCAACACTTCTCATGCCAATATTTTGAGTTGAGGATGACATTCATCTTTGCATGGTTGTATTCTCAGTGCCCTGAGAACACAAAAGAAGCTTAGTCTTAATTCAGTAAAGTAGCAAAATATTAAATATGTAACCAAGTAGGTTGTTTTCCACCTAAAGCAAATCAATGATGTTTGAGTGATTGTTTTGCACGTGTATAAAAAGTCCATTGTGCAAACAGTGGTTCAGTCCACAGGAAGCACAAGTGATTTCTGCCCAGTGATTGCCATCTCTGGCACTATTCAGAGAATGTGGCACTATGACACTGCTCTTCAGACACTGCAGAGCTTTTGCTCAGCCTGTTAGACCAGCAGCAACTGAGGCCTGCAGTGGCTGCCCATCATAGGTCACATCTTTGCAGTTCTGCTTCAGTGAACTCTGAAGCATTTGGTCCTCCCATCTTAGAAATTCCCTCCTGGAACTCACTCTCCAATGGCTTTGTGAGCTCTCCACTGTTCACCCGAGTGGATCCTGATTTTGTTCAACATAATATGACCTGATATGACTCCCCTCACTCCATAACGCCACAGCTTCTCAGTGATTTCTGTGTACCGATGAAATGGAATTGCCAGTATCCAAGAATTGTGATTATTTTGTACATTTTCATTAACCATAAAGCAGAATGGTTATAGAGGAAATATGCAGTCTTTCAACTCATACAGGCCTGATCCCTCCAACGGTCTGAGGGACAGTGAACTGGCCCCCTGTTTAAAAAGTTTGAGGACCCCTGCCATAACGCCACAGCTTCTCAGTGATTTCTGTGTACCGATGAAATAGAATTGCCGGTATCCAAGAATTGTGATTATTTTCATTAACCATAAAGGCAGAATGGTATAGAGGAAATATGCAGTCTTTCAACTCATACAGGCCTGATTTCAAATCCCATTTACAAGCTGGGTGGTTCCCGGTAAATTACCCTCTTTGATCTTCACTTTCCTCCTAGCTTCATAGGGTTATTGTGAGCATTAAATGGTAGCGAGTTCTAACTGCATAGGTAGTCAATCAATACTCATTCCCTTCTATATCAAAGTTTTAAGGATGGCCTTTACATGCAACTGTTCTGTCTATAATTACGGTTATGCCCTCAAATTATCAAAGTTATATGACTTGTCCATCTGACCTTTGTTTTCAATGTTCAGCTATGCATTATATTGCAAAAATGCCTACTCTATTGCTTGAAGTTAAAACATCCATAGAATTAAGTGGGTGTGAGTGTTCTATAAAGGTGTGCTCAAGTTTAACAATTCATCATTATCCATGGAAAGATATTTACTCAAAATTCAAATAAAGTTTGAAAAAAAATAGTCATATTCTGCCAAAAATGGGATTGAACAAAACTGAAATTCATCCACAGGAACATAGAACAAATGCAGTAATAACCCACCAACTATTAATAGAGCTCAATTAACTTCTGGAAGGCTTTTCTTTATATTGTCCAAGATATGGTCTGTGCCATTCATAACTAATTACTATGAGTGGAAGTCATTTCTTCATAAAATAAACCAGATTAAACCTGAATTTGATGTCTGGTAAGGAAATGAATACAGAATATTCCGACACACACATTTGATATGTAATATACTATGTAATATACTGTATTAAGCTCTAGGGGGAAAAATGTAAAGACTGAGTGCTTGCTTTTCCAGAATTTATAATCTGAAAGATGGTAGAAATGCCTTAAGTCCCAGCCATTTATCCCTTGGGTTTTCTTAAAATATTTTTTCTAAGAATAATAGAAAATATTGATTTAGTTGACAATTTATTTTTAAATGTCAGATTACTTGATTTATTGATTTAATGAAACGTTATTTGAATTGTCAAATTTACCTTCCTAGAAATCTGAAGTTTTAGAACAAGGGCACTTAAATCTTAGCAATGCTAAAAAGATCTGAAAATAATTTGTTCTCTTCTCATAGGATAGGGACATTTTGTTTTTGTTTCATTCTACCAGCCCTTTTGCCAAAATTAACTTTATTGAATAAAGTACTCTAAGTTGTAACTGCAGTTTTCTAACAGCAGTGGGCATATTCCTTCACCTACCAGAGAGCCAGAGCCCCTCTGACCCTCCGCACTCATGCTGAAGACCACGCCCCTACACCCAAGGAGGGGAGGAGCTTACTAACTTCCCAGTTCTGAACATGCCCAGTTGGTGGTGCCGGAGAGATTCCTAAGGGCTGCATGGAGTCATATCTATTAATAGTTACTTCTCTTTATACTTCATTTTATTTCTAGCAAACACACTGGATTAAAATTTTTAATAGTGACATAAAGTTTCCTCATTTAAAAATGAATACATGTAAAATAAAATAGTAAATAGTTCAGGTGCTATATGGCTAACAGAAAGGTTGAAACTCAAATAAGTGCACAAAAGTTATCCTGGGCTTTTTGAAAGTCAAAGATTGATGCTTAGACTAGAACATCTGAAATAGAGATAACTTTATTATGCTACTTAAGACAGTTTTTCAGTAAAGCCCTGGGAGGGTTAATAAGCAGTGCCATTAGTGGAAAATATACCCTGGACTTGGGGTTAGATACAGTTCAAATGCTACTTCTGTTTAAGTAAGCCTTGGACCCAGCGTCCTCATTTGTAAAATAGGAATCTGACTCCATAAGACTGGTGTATGAATTAACTGACACCGCACGTATAAAGTGAATGGGACATAGGTAATCCTTCTTCATTCCCTTTGACTCACCCTCGAATATAATATCAGCTGTTTCTATTTCCTTAAAAGATTAGGAACTGGAAGTAGGTCCCAATTATTTACACTCCATTTT